TTTTTTTGTTTTAAAAAACAAAATTATATATATATATATATATATTATATACAGGACAATGAAAATATCCATGGAAACAAATGGGGTGGCCGGAAAAGATGCTTAACAAAAAAAAAAAAAAAAGAAGCCTGAAATAAGATAAATTCCCAACTCTTCCCCAAACTGATGCTTTGCCTTCCCCACTAGTCCTCCAAGACCACAATCTCCACGTTATGGACCTGGTGCTGGTGGTCCTCCACGTCTCCTCCCACCACTTTCTCCTCAGTCCTCAGCTCCGTCTCCAGGATCACAGCTTTGCCCTCGGGCTCGTCCGCGTCCGCCTCGGGATCCGGCGCCGGGTCGATCTCTATGATGGTCTGCCCGTCGTCCGAGGTGCCCTCCACGGCCTGGATGGTGGAGGTGATGCCCGACTCCATGGCCACCAGCTCCACGGGGTTGACCACAGCCGCCACGTTGGCCAGGGCCCCGCTGTCCTGCATGGCCGCCGAGCTCAGCAGCGCCAGGCTGGAGGACGGGTGCAGGGTCACCGTGTCCGAGGAGCTGGTCTTGGAGGAGGAGGAGGAGGAGGAGGAGGAGGACACCACGGTGGCGTATCGGAAGAGCTGGGAGCCGGAGGGCAGCGTGTGCACAGTCACGGGGCTGGAGCCCTGGCTGATGGTGGCCACGGGGATGTTGCCCACGGAGAACTGCTGCCCGACGGGCGCGATGGTGATGGGGGAGATGACGGTGAACTGGGGCTGCTGCAGGGGGGTGGAGGGGCTCAGCACGGTGGCGGAGGCTGGGCGCTGCAGGCGGGGTCTCTTGGGGGGCTTGGGAGCGCTCACGGGCATCAGCACCACGTTCTGGATGGTCTGGGACTTGGCCTTCTGGTCCCGGGCGAGTTTCTTCTGCTCTTCCAGCTGCCGCTCCAGGTCTGTGAAGGGAAGGGCACGTCAGGCTGGGGACACCGGGAGCTCCTGGGGCTCCATCACCCCCCAGGGTTGTGACAGGGGACACCCAACCACCCAGCCAGCGTGGTCTTGGCATCTCCCTTGGGATCAAACTACACTCAAAGATAAGGTCAGGTTCTCTTGCCACCCACACAGGTCAGTGTTCCAGCTGTCAGCACCTGGATAAGGCACAGGTAATGTTCCATCCCTGTTGGCTACTCCTAATGGTAAGAAGATGGGCATTTCTGCTCCCCAAGCTAAACCCACCTATAAGGGAGAGTGGACAAACCCCCCTGGACAGTTGGAATTGCTTCTTGAGCTTGGCTGAGTCACATTCCCAGAGCCAAGCACCAGCACTGGGCACAGGAGCAGGACCTGGGGTCAGTGAAACATCTCCCTCACCCCCATCCTTCCTCCCTTGTTGGTGGAACACTGGGAGCCAGAAGCAGCACAGTGACCTCATTTATCCAGGGCAGCAGGGGACTAGGACAAGGGTAAGGACAGATCCTATAGGACACAATGAGGGAGTTGCACTGAGGTTGTGTGGAAGGAAAATCACATTTGTTCCCAAGAGCAGCAGCAGGATGTGAACCTTTATTAGGCACTTTACCTGCTAGTGTGTAAAGAAACTGCTCCTCTCCTTGCTCTGTCTGGTTTTTTCTGTTGTCCAGAACCTTCTTGACTGTGTCCATTAGACCAAATGTGTGGGCAACGTTGTTCAGGACAGCAGCATCTGCAAGGAAAGGGTGCTCAGTCCCATGCAGGACTCAGGTACTCAAAAGATGCTCCTATTACAGCAAAAATTTTCTGCTGCTTTCTGTAAAACTCTGTTCTTTCACAAGGGCTGGCTGACAAAGGCAGACCCAGCTCCCTCATCCTTCTGACATCCCAGGACTAAATAATCCCATTCACATGATAAAGCAAGAGGAACAGAGCTGTGTCACTCAAGCAGCTCCAAACTCCTGCAAATGAAAGCATAATTTGCAATCACAGAGATACAAACGAGCTCTCCACCTACAAACCATCACCCCATGCTGCTGACAGTGTCATTAACATGCCAAGCTCCACTGAAAGCTTTGCAAAATGTCTGTTATAATCCACTGACTTCAATCACTCACAGCTCCCAAAAGCTGCCACCTACCAGACACAAAGATCCGCTAGCCCGAAGTTAAATTAGAAAATTAAGGGGAAAAAAAAATAAAATATCCTGGGTAAAATGAAGTTTGTGGCTCCATGGATGTTCTCTCAGGAAGAGCATCAACAAGAGGTGCTCACAGGGGCATGTGCCCAACTGAATTAGGGAACGGATCCAAGCTAAAAATAACCCTAAAAAAGGGGAGGGGAGTTATTTTTAACCCAGATCGTCCCCCTCGTCTGGTTCAGCCCCAAAACCAGGTTTTCTGGCACCAACAAAAGCAGAACGAGAAGTAAGGGAGCAGGACCCTTTTAAGGGTCAAGCACTGTCACAGAGAAGTGTTTGAATAACTCTGCTCCAAGAAGTGACTCTGGAAGAGCTTCCATGAGGGCTGGGAGCTGTGGACAGTCATCTCAAAGTCCCAACAAGCTGCCAGGGTCACTCTGCTCAGGGAACAGGGTGGAATGGTGTGTCCTAGTGCCTTGAAGCAAAGGCACTTCACAGCTGGGCAGGCTGAGAACACATCCAGGCTATGCTCCCACAGCTCAGCTAATGAGTGGGAACTTGTTCCCAATCCTGACTCACCAGCTTTACATGGTGGGATGGACACTTGCCAGGTTTTTTTGCCTGCAGCTGCCCTTTGGAGGTTCCTTCCTCACAACCTACCTGTCATCTGGAAGGGAGACTGCCCCAACCTCTGCTGCACCCCTCTTAGGACTTCTTCTATCTCCTTCTGGATGTTGCACACCACTTCTTCCATCAGCCCCACATCAGCTATTCCCTTCCAGAACATCAGCGTGTCCTCTGGCACAAAAAAAGGGGAAAAAGAAGTCAACATGTCCAAGCAACTGGCATTTTCCCCACAGGGCCACCTTAAACCTTTCAGGCAAGTGTAACTTTGCAAGGTGACTTCCAGTTTGGCCACTGGGGTAGACAGGACATGTGAAAAAGAAACAACCAACCCCAAAGCAAGCAAAACAGGCAGCAAATTAGAGCAGGTTTTCAAGCAGCTCCGTGACTTCCAAGGCAAAGATGTGAAAAATGTTCATTTCACATCTTTGCAAGATGCAGAGCTTAAAATCTTGAGGAAGTTCTGGCTAAACTTCTGTACTGATCCTAAGAGGGAATGCAAGCCAGAGAGACAGCCCAGAGAGCTGACAGGGAACATGCTCCAGGCTGCCAGACATGTTTTACATCCTTAGAATAAATTAAGAGAAGCCCCTCACTGTAACTAGTAACATCTGAACTGGGGGATCATCCATCAGCCACGAGGCCAGGGCTGAAGTCCTGCAGTGGTGAGGAGTTCTGTTTGGCAGGAAGCCTGGATGTCTGGGAAAAGCTGGGATAGCCAAGGGGCTGGGGGACAGCTCACTGCTCAAACTCTCCTTATTTTCAGGATTTCCAACATATAACAAGGGGAGGAGAGGGGAAGAAAACACCCAGCAAGCAGCCTGGGCTTACCTGAGATCTCATCAGTGTCCTTTTTGATGCCCTCCTCAGTGGCCATGGTGACAGCAGCTGTGAGAGCCGAGTTCCACTCGATGCCCTCCTCCATGCTCTCCTCCGACAGCGCGATCTGGGTGATGCTCCCTGCCAGAGAGCCCCTGTCAGCTCCCTCTGGAGCTGGAGTGCCAGCCTTGGACCCCTGCTTTGATTCCCACCCCCTCACCCCTCCCAAAGCTCTCCTTCACTCTCAGGTCAAGTTTGTGCTTGGCTTCTTTCAACCAAATGCTTCTTGTTGGAGCTGTGGCAGCGAAAGGCTCTGGGAGTTCTGGAGGGAAAACTATTTGCCCTCCAAAAAGCAGAGTGGGGTCCTCACACCAACAGAGCAGAAAGGGATCAGAATAAAGAAGGGAACAAATAAGGCTCAGGCAACCTTCTCACCATGTATCATCCACAGGGACCCCTGCACTCCAGAGGTACCCTAATCCCTCAGGAAATGATGGAGTGGGAGTCCAAGCTGGTTTATAGAAGGGAAATGGATCTGACTCAATCTGGATCAAATTTGGGACTAAGCCAATGTGCAGCCACTGTAAGGTTTTACCACACGGCCATGGTACTTTCCAGAAGATTCTCCTTAGCCTATGGACAACTCTTCCATCCCACCCACACGTGGACTCAGAGAAATGTAACCCACCCAGCTGAGCAATGCCATAAAACTGGGAATAGACTTAACCTCAGCAAAGAGCATGGGATCACTGAGCATTTGCAGTTGGAATGACAATCAAATCATGTCCAGCCATCACACCCAGTTCATGGATGTTCTGGAGGAGCTCAGCACCCCTAAATTCATTGTCAGAATGAGCCCAGCTTTTGCCTTTGTAACAGATTCCCAAATGGGAAATACATGGGAAAACGCTGTGCGAGCTCTCTCAGGCATTTGCTCACACGGTGATCCCAGAACAGGGATCCCTTCAAGGCTCTCAATCCCTCTCCTGGCTCCCAAGGCTGCCTCTGGAAAGCATCTGCTTGATGCCAGCTGCTTACAGTCCCTCCCAGTCCTGCACAGCAGAGCTCCCTGACAAATGCTGCCAAGACTTCTCTGAGCAGACACAAGACACACTTTCCTTCCCAAAAACCAGAGCAGTCTCCTTCAAAACAGTGGGACCACCCTGCTGTGCCCGGGGAGAAGGTGGGAGGGAGAGGAGCATGAGAAGGAATTCCTATGGCACTGGTAGCTGGTTTCCTACCATCAGCTGAGGTCGGGGTCTGCACCACGCTCTGCTGCCCCGGCACCGGCGCTCGGGCGCTGCTGATCAGGAGATCAAACTTGGTGCTCCGACACGTGTTGGTGCAAACTTTGTCGTGCTGGTAGAAGTCAATCTGCCCCGAATCCATCATCTTCCTGTGCAGGGAGTGGGGAGAGAACCAGGCTCAGCTCAAGGCTCAGCCTGGAGACAAAACGGGTGTGTTCCACATGGGAATGCTACAGCCATGGGAAGGACACAGAAAGGGAGACCTCAGGGCCACTCCGTGCACAAAAAACGTCCTGCAAGGCTTGCAAATGGCAAACACAAGCCATCCCCCAGCTTCACGTGCAGGGCTCCAGTCCTGTTCCACCCCACCAAGTACCAGGACCCCCAGTGAGGCCACTTCTTCCAGGATGAGGGATCCTGGATCACACCACAGGGCCAGGATCTCTGCAGGGTGCTGGCCAGGTACTGTGAGGCTCCAAGAGACCTCCTGGGGACTTCAAAGCAGACAAAATGCCTGCTCGGGGTCCTGCAGCTGCAGGGGTGAAGCCCAGAGGCTGGACAGGGTCAGATACCTCAGCATGATCCCTCCGAGGCGAATGGCCCTTTTCCAGTCCTTCAGGGTGGATTTCCCAGCCAGGTGAACAAAATGCTTCGGGCTGATCAGCTGGTCATTGAACTGACAACGAGACAAACAAAGGCTCAGCAAACAGGGAAACGTCATTTGGGAAGACTGGGACATCCAACACAGCCAGTCTGCAGCCCCACTTCCACTCAGAGAGAGGAGCTGCTTCTCAGATCCCTCCCAGCTTTGATCCCCTGGGCACAGCAGTTCCTACAGCTCGAGGATGGATGTCTGCAGGGATGGCCTGCCACCATCAGCATTCAAACCACACAGTCTAACCAAGAACAGCCCTGAAGGCTCTGTATGAACCAAATCATCTCCTGTGAACATGTCACCTTGGAGATCCTTGCAGGAGCTCCTGTTACATCAAATAGCCCAGGAGCTTCCAGCTGACACAGGTGTTCCCTCAGGCATTCATTCTGTCCTGCTCCAGTGACTCAGGTAATTCCCACTTGAGGGGGAGCAGCACATGGGGCTCAGACTCGGATTTGCTGTCACACTGCCACGCTCTCAAAGTGGGAAAAGGTAACAGCAAGATTTCTCTTCCCAGTGCAACCTGCTCCCCAAGGAAGTGACAGGAGTGGAGTACCAGGACTCCGAGGGAAAGAGGGAAGGAAGCAAAGCTCCTCTGAATCTCAGCACACATCCCCTGCCTGCCTTCAATCCCTCCTCAAGGGCCAATATGGCTGTGAAATCTAAGATGTGTGATATCCTCCTCTCCTCTTCCCATGCTTCTTCCCATCTAAAAACAACTCGAGCACCAACAATCCAAAGGCAAAGCCACCCAGTTCCAGGACAAGGTTAGGATGAAACACAAGAAGTAAGGAAGTCCTGTGGAGGTCAAGCAGAGAAGAAATCCATGGGGTGTTTTCCCCTTACCTTCACACACTTGACATTGATTCCTGGACAGACAAACTTCTTCCAGAGCAGGATGGCCTTGCTCTCCCCGCAGGTGATGGGGTAGGCGATCTCGATCTCCTCGCTCGTTTCCAGGGTGCTGGGGTCTGAGGGAGGAATGGCTCAAAATGAGAACTTCCCACCCAAGAGGCTTGAATCCCACAAGGCAGGAGATAGGAGCTCACAGATCTCACAGGTTGTGAGATCTGCACTTGGGAAAGCAAAAAAAGGGCTGATCCCAGTTCAGGATCAGTCCTCTCTTAGTCTTCTCCACGCACTAACTCCAAAAGCAACTGGCATCTGCTTTTTGGTATAATGATGCCCAAAATTAAGCTCAGCTATCAGGAGAACATGAGACCAGAAATCCAACACATCTGTAAGGGGGAGGTGTCAATGAGAACAATCTTTGTGGCAACAAAATGGCTTAAAATTTGAAGCACAGATCTCTCTCACATTCTTGGAGCTCTGGTACCTCTTTAGCAGCAATATCAGATATTTACTGATAATATATTCACTTCACACATAGAGTTTCTGCTACTACTGCCAAAAGACCCACACCCACACAGGAAGCAGAACTCTAGTCAAGATCTAGTGACAGCACCCAGCGACAGGAGCCTTTCCCACACACTGCTCAGGGAATGGCAGGGAGCACTTGGCTCTTCTGAGCATCCAACCCAAACCACCAGGCTATTGCTTCAGCAAAGACCCAGCGACCAGAGCCTGGGGCTCCAGGCACCATCATTCCTCACCACCATCCTTCCTGCTGCCAGTGCCTGCACACCACGACTAGGGTGACATCCCGGCTCCCCTGGACCCCGTGGGAGCCCTTACCATTCACTGCAGGAGAGCCAGGATCTCACTTCCAGGACTTTGGGACCAAGCAGTAACAGCAGACTCTTATTCCAGAGTATGCCCAGCCCCTGCACCCACATCCATGCCTGGGAATCAGCATCTGCAGGGGCAGAGCCAGAAGGAAGCCCAGCGGACTGGAGACACCAGCCCTGCACAGGAGGGGATCTGTCCATGCTGAGGGGGAACTCACCAATCCCTTCTTCCAGCTTGTGGATGGTGTGGGTTTCCACGGCCACCACGGCAGCACTGGCCTCGGAGCCCTCCTGGTAAATCCTGTGGTGAGAGTGGCCATCCATAAACAAACCATGGAAATCATGGGAAACCAGGATGCACAGCACGGGGTTAAAATTTCGGCTCCCTCCTTCTGCCTGTCTTTGAAGGACGTGGATTTTGTCTGGTGCAGTGTTTTTTGGCACTAATAATCCCAAGGACTGACACATGCAGAGGCGTTCCCAGTGCTGTCAGCCCACCCTCCATGCTGCCAGCACCACCGAGGCAGCTCTGCAGTCTTCCCTGTGCCTTCTCCTCTGCTCTCTGTCACCCACAACAGCAGGAAGAGGAGAACAGTGTCCCAGGATGTCCCTTCCAGCCCTGTGTGCCACTGCAGCACAGGCTGACCACGCAGGGGAGCCACTGCCAGGCCCACAGCCACCCTGCTCTGTGAATATTATCTACCTGGCGCCAGTTTTTTCACATCCTGATTGATCCAGAGTGAAAATGAAGCACCAAGGGTGCCACAAAATTCCCTCCACATCCCAGCTTCACTGTATTCAAGGATTATTTTAGGGGAAAGCTGGCACAGAGGCACAGGTAGTCTAGACACACAGACCACCAGGTGCAGCAGCTGCAGCGTGGCCAAAATCCACCCCGGGGCTGCAGAGGGACAGCACCACTGCCACGATCCAGGCAGGATCCCTCAGAACACTTTCAGCCCTTGGAGGCCCCATGACAGTCACACACACAAGCTTTTTCCTGTTGTATTTTTCCCTCTCCCCTGTGTGGCACAAACCCGACACAGCCCTGGAAAACACTGTGATGCTCCGTCCCCACGCCAGGGAAACCCACAGATCCCCCCACCCCCATCGCACCCCACACCTCCCAGTCACACCAGTGCCACCCAACTCACCCTTGCTGCACCGGCTGGAGCTGCAGGATCACCTGGGTTTTGGTATCCTCCGGGTTCTCCCCTTCATTCCCGTCACTTGGTACAACCACCACATCACCCACAGGGACGCTCACCTCGGCATTCGCCATCTCTCACATGAACACGGCAAGGTTTTCCTCCTCCCTGTGGATCACGAGAGCTGGGAACAGATCCCACAGGCAGATTTCCCCCCCCCAGTGCCATCCCACTCCTGACTTCCCGAGCTGGTGGCTCTCCCTGGCCCTGCACCCCCAAGGCCAGGGAAGCAAACCCACATGGAGGGTTTTGGCAAGAGCTTGAGTTTCCAAGCCAGCCCCTGGGATGCTCTGATCCACCTCTGGGATGCTCTGATCCTTTGCTACCAGGAACATGCCTGGGGATGATCCTTCCCAGGAGAAACTGTGGTGCTGCAGGAGAACCTGGCAGGGAGGGGGGTCACAGAGCAGCTGCACTCCCAGGGGATGTTCCTGTGGCTGTGCACGAGGCACAGAGGTGGTTTTGTGACTGCTGTGGGGCCAGGATCACCCCTTTGGGGTGTAAAAGCTTCAGGGAAAGACAGACTGTCAGAATCATGGAATGGTTTGGGTTGGAAGGGATGTTAAAGATCGCCCAGTCCCACCCCCTGCCATGGGCAGGGACAC